CAATTACCTAAAAGGCTGAAATGACCACCATATTAAGCATATGCAACACTATACACAGTCAAAGCAGCCATGCATAGAAAAAAATCCATCTCAAAATCACACACAGGTAAGCTGGTTACTGAGGGAAGGCTTGCCTGAAGAAAAAGGTCTTGGCCTGCTTGCGGAAGGAGAGCAAAGATGGGGCTAGGGTGGCCTCCAGTGGGAGGGAGTTCCAAAGTCTGAAACGGAGATAGCAGCACCCACACCCCTCATTTAAACACCTCTTGCACAGCAGTGATGCTGTTGTTGATTTGGAAATGCAAATATTCATTGTGAGAGTCCACTCTTTACCAAAGAAGAGTCCAAAATTGTAGGTCACTGGCTCTCAAACCAATGAGGACCTGGTCTTTTGTACAGCTAATGCCTCTTGATTGCCAATTCAAGACGAAGCCACTCCCACAGGCAATGCATTTCTCTCCCAGCTGCTGTCAAAATCGTGATTCCACTACACCACTGTTGTCCAGGAGAACATCCTAAAGAATCATAGCTGCGATTGAATGTGAAGTTTCGAGTCAGATCGCCCTTTCTCACTTCACCTGATGGGCTAACGCAGGCTTTGGCCTCCCAGAGGTTTTGGACTTCAACTCCCAGAATCCCTGTGTGAAGAAATCTCACTAAACTACTTAATTCTGCACAGGACAGGATATGGGAGCAAACGGAGAAAACCTATTACAAATGTGTTACTCCCCACAAAATAGCTTGCCTCTAGCACAAGCAGCAGCCCGGTGCCCTTGGCCGGCTGCCCATCTCTTGCAGAAATCGGTGGTCAGACTTTGGATCACACCTTGTTTCAATAGGCTTTATTGTTAAGAAAGCAACATTAGGGCCAAGAAATTCAAGGGGGAAAAAAAGGCAAGAAGAATCAGAGAAAGATTTTTTTTAATTAACTCCCCCCCTTTCCCCATTCACTCAAGAAAACAATCAAAAGCCACCACTTGAATCTTATCAGTTAATTACAAAAAACCAAGCTCTTACCTAGAAGGGAGGAATTCGAAACAGGTCCCTATTACAAGTCTTGGGTCATCAGATCAGAACAGGAGAGATGGAAAGAAGCCCCCCCCCCGCTATTGGTACAG